CCCCGGGCCCCCCCCCCGCCCCGGGGGGGGGGGGCGGGGCTGCGGCGGGGCCCCCCAGCGCGTGTGGGGGGGGGAGGAAGCGCGTTCCACTCAACAGCCACAGCCCGAGGGGAGGGGGGGAAGGGCCGCAGCCACCCCCCTCCGCGCGAGACTCTTCCCTCCCGCGCCAGGAACCCCGCATAAGGGAAGGAGGGAACCCGATGCCCGCACCTACCCCTTGTCCTGTGCGAGACTCTTCCTGCTGCCGGAGCCCACCCGGGCAGAGGTGGAGAGAATGGCAGGCATCTCCACCAATGGGCGGCCGGCGCGGTGTGGCGTCACGGTCGGGTAGAAGCCAAGCAATGGCTCTGATTGTACGGCTGGAGCTGCGGGGGGAGGGGGTGACAGACGTTACCCCGCCCCTGCCTCCCTTCAGCGCGGGCTTCTGAAGCCCCACCCCCCCCGCAGTGTGTGGGGGTGATGGAGGTCTGGGGAAGCGTTTGGTACCCGTGAGCCGCCATGACTCGCAGCCCCCTCTGGTGGCGGGGTGGGCAGGGAGGCGCAGCCTGAAGGGCGTGGCTCGGCTCGGTGGGCACATCATCAGCCGTCACTCAACGCCCCACTCCAACCGACCCTCTGTGTAGCCAACAGCCCTGCCTCGCAGCAGGGGCGCCATTGCACAGGTGTGTCCTCTCTATGGTCGCCAGCCGTCCAGGATTGCCCGGGCGTCTCCAGGAATCCGATATAAACCTCCAGGAGGCTGCTGAGAGTCATGCCACAGATCAATTCATTAAAATAAATATTAAATGTTGAATCTGAGTTACACAGTGGGGCAGCAGATTTTTTAAATGTCATAGTCATGTGCATTTGCCTTTTTGATGGAAAATCTGTGCACTGAACCATCACTGATATACAGAAGCACACGGACATATTGCTGTGTGTATTGTGGGCATGGTGGCAGGCTGGAAACCTCCCAGAATAGATTCAGAGTTGGCAACCCTAGTCCTCTCTCGCCCCACACACATGCCTTTGCCTGTGCCTATTCATCTGGCTACCAGTCTAGACCCATGGCTGGGTCAGGCAACAGTTCCTCATGCTGAAGTCACCTGTCTTCTCCAGGAAGAGATGACGGGGGGACTAGTAAAGATGTTAAGGAAGGCTTCTCAGATGGCCTGGTTGCCTGATAGAGGGGTCTGAGGAGTGGAGAGGGTCTTGGGGCTCTGTTATAAAGAGGTGTAGGAATCATGGGAAAGTAGGGCTGGAAGGGACCTCCAAGTACATTTAGTCCAACCCCCCCCCC